AAAAATATTAAAAAAATACACTTAATTATTTTTAAACGTGTTATTATTAGTCATTTAATATTGAATAACAACTGTTAAATATTATATAACAAACAATTATATCAATTTAATTCACTATTTATTATTTATTATTTGTTATTCATTTTTCATTAGTTGTTGCTTACTATAGTTAATCATTATCCATTATCTGCTACCGTTGTTTACTATTCACTACTTATTATTTATTAAATTTTAACTGTTATATCAAATATATCTATAATTGAATAAATTTAACTTTAATTTTAGATTTATCAATAAATAAGTATTTTTTATAATTGTAATTTAAGTTTAAATTTTTAATTTTAAAACTAACACTTAAAAAGTTAATTTTTTAAAATTTACTATAATAACACTTGTGTTTAAGATTACTTAAAAAAAATTAATTTCAAAATAAGTAATAACTAACTTAAAAGAAATACTATAATTGTAAATTAAAAAATAAAATAAAAAGACTTGTCGGGCATTGATGCATCGAGCCGACACGACTGGGACTTCGGTTCTAGAGGGGTGAGCCTCGAACTATCTCCATCTTGGGCCGATTTTGGTTCCCAAGACTGTTGACTAGTCTTGGTTTGACCGTGCGATCCGAGGTGGTTGGAATGGATGATGGCTGTCTCTTCTTTACACTTCCTATGTTTTTTTTAGTATTACTGTAATTTATCTTGTGCCCATAATAAATATTAATATTTTTTATTTTAATTATAAATATCATGCGTTAAATTTGATTAATTAATTTTAAATAAAAAATTAAAAGTTATTTTTAAATAAAGAATTAGGATTTTTTAATATAAAATTTTTCTTTAAAAAAAATTATAATTATTATTTAATAATGACTTCTTATCTTATCCTTAAGGTCCAAGATATATAAATTTTTTATTAATATTATTATTCCATCGTCTCAAAATAATTATTAATGAATTTAGTGCCAATTGAGTCTAAATTTATTGTAAAAAACAGACTAAAATGAGTTAAAACCTTACAAAATAATAGTTCATCAAAAGAAAATCATAAAATATTTTAAGTAATTAAGAATACAAGATTTTAAAATTTTTAAATATAAATTTTAAAATAAGTAAAAAGGAGTTTTATTTAATATTGTATAACTTATTAATTTAAAAACTTAAATTACATGTAAGAAGATTAATTGTTTTTTTTTTTTTGTTGATAAGAAAATTGTTAGTAGCTTAGTATTGTGAGATATTAACAACTGAGATTTGATCCCCAAATCTAGTGAACAACCCACCGACTTCAATGAGGTGCGCGGCTATTGGACCGCTTGGTGGAGTTCAAGAAGATTAATTGTTTAGACTTAAGAATTTAGTCCTAACATGTGATAATTGGAGGAAGGCAGCGTGACTTTAGCTTCATCCTAATCAAAAACAAACTTCTTAAACTTTATATTTCTGCATTATGCAATCAGAATAAGATAAAAAAAACTACTCAACCTAAAGGGTAAAACTAAAAGTAGTCATAAAGAAACAGAAAGGTAAACCTTTGCTTCATTCAATAATTCAAAGAAGTTATAAAATGGAATAAAAAAATTTGCACTCACAGGTCCCATCTCCTTAAAAAATAGTATCTACTTATTATATAAAGAAAAAAGCATCTCTGAAACTTGTAGAGCAAATTTTACCCAACTTTTGAATTCATCCCTAATATTTATCTAGTAACGAAGATATGTTTGTTTAACTCAAAATGTGAATAGCTTTTCAATAGCTCTAATTGGGAATGATGGAAACTTGAAAATAGGGGCAGGTAATGATGAAAATCAGGAGGCCTTTAGGAAAAAAAAAACCATATAAATCTGCTCCAAATCTTCAAGTTGGGAGGGCAACAGCATAAGAGCACAAAAGACTATTGACACAAGAGTTGGACTTTTGTCCTCTTCTTGTTTTTTTTTGGTACATTGTCCTCTTCTTGTTTGTTTCTGGGTTTCTTCGTATGCCATAATTCACGTCTTCCCCTTTGTTTTTCTAGGAAAACAAACCCCACTCATCCCAACCTTTTTCCTAGGGTGGTCCTATTCCTAATTGGTCAATTGGACAAAAATCCCTAGTCTCTATGTTCATGATATATAATTTTTCCCTTAATTTAATCTAAGTTCGAAATTTCTAATGGGTTAGTTGAAGTCCCCTTTGACATTCTTGGACTTTGGGGTATAATTAATTTGAATATTTATTTACTTTGCATTTATGATGGATTCTTTAAATTTTTATTTCTATATAAGTTAAAACCAACTTTTAGTATTAATTTAAATTTAAATTTTTAAAAATTATTTGAATCTTAATTTAAAAATATGATAATGTATGATGTATTAATTAAAGTTAGAAATTTCTTATGATATATTCAACTTGAGCCTACAAAAATTTGTTTTAAAGTCTAAACGAAATGGACATTTAATCACTTTAAATTGTTGCTCTATTGTTGAGTTACTTGTGTAAAGGAGGGAAAGGGGCCCGTGAGGAGCAAGTGTGTAAAATATGATGTTTTGAAGCTATAATGGGGAACATGCGTGCTCTCTGTGTGTGGTCAAAGGTTTGAGGAGTGAAAATGAAGCACATGAATGTGGGAGACTCATTATTATAAGAACTCCAATGAGAACAAATTCATCACCCTCCAAGTACTTAAAGAAAATGTGTTGAGATAGCACCAAGAACATTAGAATTCACACTCAATCTCCACTAAACTTACTCCAAAGTAACCGGTTTTGGAGTTGTGATGTGTTCTGTCCCTATACTTTCTACCTTGTTTCAAAAAAATTAACTCCCTTATGTGGGGGCCCCTCCCCGATTTTGGGGCATTTGTCCCACATCGACCTTGTGTGTATGTGTTTAAATGGTATTTATGGGATTTCATACAACTCCAAAGTAACTGGTTTTGGGGTTGTGATGTGTCCTAACTCCTGTTCCTATACCTTTTATATTGTTTCAAAAAAAAAAAATCTCCACTAAACTTGAGAAATTAAATAGAATTTTTCGCCTACCATTCTTTCTTATTTTTTTATGAATCACAAAATCTTTTGTGAATAATTCACTTAATTGTGTTACACTAAAAAAATAAATATTATCTTAGATGTTATGCAAAAAGTCTTAATGCAAATTTATATCGGTCATCTTGAACTCTGATATCATATGAAAATTATGCATATAAACTTCAAAATAATATTTACATTTAACTTAAAACCAATAAACAATAGATAGAATAGCTCTCATTATATTTAACTCACATATTTCTTCATTATATACTTGATATAAGATGTTTTCACTTAATATGGCTTGAAATAGTTTGTTTTGTTGCTTTAATTTTCTGTTTAGATGAAGATTAGTTTCCCTTGATTTTCTCCCTTTATCCACAAACTGTGTAGTTGCTGTGTATATAAGCTTATATATATTGTACCTCTTTCAATAAATACATATGAAAACCTTTCACAAAACTTTACAAAAAGCAACACCTTCTAAATTGTAAAAACTAAAGATAGAATACATATTTCAAAAGTGTTGAGTTTATCTCTAAATCTTATGAGAATTATAAAATATAGAAAGAAAAATTTTTATAAATAAAAGAAAAACAAAGTAACTGTGAATCAGAGTTGGAGTCCTTACAATGCTACCTCAAGTTGTTGTCATTTAGTCAGGAAAATGAACAATTTTGTAAACTTGATAAATTAGTTTTTGAGTATATATGTATTGTAATAGAATGTAGTATTGTAAAGCTAGGATGCACTATTTTGTCCCTTAGTCAAAAGGGCTAATGAACTGTTACTGTCCGAATAGAACAAAAGCAACATCAACTGTAATTTCTTGTAACAAGATCAAGCACATTAGGTCACCCAGATTCCATTCCTCTTTTCCTTTTTCATTAAAAAGAAATAAATCCAAACATTTCAAGAAATAAGTCATATAATGACATGTTGAACATTATCACACGAGATTACATATTTCAGACAAAATCCTATGAGACATCTCTTTCATGGCTGAAATCAATAAAAAGCAAGAATTTTACTGAAATATATGAAAAGAAATTGGTGCAGTGCAGCCTATTTATTCAGTATCCCTACTCCTCCTCTGTCCTCCACTGAAGTAGACTCTCTAAACAAACATGGCTATGGCATCTGTGCTGTTGTTTCTACTCATCTCTTCCATGGAGGTTGCATCCTCTTCTTCTTCTTCACCTCTCCCTGATAAAATTCATCAACTTCCAGGCCAACCCAATGTGCGTTTCCAGCAGTTCTCAGGATATGTCACTGTGGATGACAAGAAGGATAAATCTCTGTTTTATTATTTTGTAGAAGCAGAACAAGATCCAGCTTCCAAGCCTCTAGTTCTCTGGCTAAATGGAGGTCTGCATTTTCCTACATCCTTAAATTCAGACACTTAAAGTTGTCTTAACAATTTTGTTTCCGGACAGGTCCTGGTTGTTCTTCATTGGGAGTGGGAGCTTTCTCCGAAAATGGACCATTCAGACCAAATGGTGAAGTTCTTGTGAGAAATGAATATAGCTGGAACAGAGGTATCTCAAAAACCTTTTTTTTTAATCTCCCCATTGTTAAAAATAATCTGTTCAAATGATATTTTCAAGAGCGTTTTGGACTGCAGAAGCTAACATGTTATACCTAGAGACACCAGTTGGAGTTGGATTCTCTTACTCAACTTACAATTCTTCCTATGTAGCAGTTGATGATGAGATAACAGGTATATTTGTCTTTGAGTTCACATCTGTTCTGTTTTGTCTTAAAATTCTTGAGTACTTTTGGGTGCAAATGAGTTTTAAATTCATGCTACTGTTGAGAAGACCAGAGTCTATTGCCCGTGGCCAAATTCTGAATTCAAAACCTTGACTCTGGGGTTAGTGTCAGGAGTTCAAACCTTTATAGTTAGCTGGGGACACTTAACTTGTTTTCCGGTAATACAACATCTTCTAAGTTTGCTTTTGCTTTCATCTTCTTAAGCCAGGGACAACCTTGTATTCTTGCAACGCTGGTATGACAAGTTCCCAGGTTACAGGAACAGGAATCTGTTTATTACAGGAGAAAGCTATGCAGGTATATTTTTGCTACATAAAATCAATGTCTTCCATAGCTTGTAATATTTTGACAGACATGTTAATGTATCTTCCATCGTTGGATTGCTGATACCAGGCCATTATATTCCCCAACTGGCAAAGCTTATGATTGAAATCAATAGAAAGCAGACGCTATTCAATTTGAAAGGAATTGCTGTGAGTACTATGATGTAGAGTTTTCTATTTGTGTGATGCATATAAACAATTGCATTCTTCAATTACTAGATCAGAATTACCTCCATTGCAGCTGGGAAACCCGGTACTGGAATTCGCCACAGATCTCAATTCAAGGGCTGAGTACTTCTGGTCCCATGGCTTAATATCAGATTCAACATACAGAATGTTCACTTCCGTATGCAACTATTCCCGGTATGTTAGCGAGTACTACAGGGACTCGGTTTCACCTGCTTGTTCAAGGGTGATGAGCCGAGTGAGCACAGAAACCAGTCAGTTCGTGGACAAATATGACGTTACCCTTGATGTTTGCATTCCATCAGTGCTTTCACAGTCAAAGGCTATAAGTCCCCAGGTAACCTTCTTTGGGATTAATTTGCCTTAAATCACTTGTATTGTGCGTAGTGTTGTCAAGTTAGCTCAATTATTTGAAACTAAAACGGGTTGTTTACCTTGCAGCAGGTGTCTGAGAAGGTAGATGTATGTGTGGAGGACAAGATTGTGAATTACCTAAACCGTAAAGACGTTCAGCAAGCTCTCCATGCTCACCTGGTTGGAGTCCACAGATGGGCTGTATGCAGCAAGTAGGACTTCTTGGCTAAGCTTAAGAAGTAATTTTCAATAGTAATCTAATTCAAAAGCAAAAATGATACTAACATTAACATCAATCGAAAAAATTGAAACACTGTCTAAATTTTCAGTTGCCCCTACAGAAGCAGTTTGACACTTTACTACTGAAACTGGATTTTTTAGAACTTCTGTTATTCTAGTGCCTTTTTGATGACAGCATTCTGCAGTATGAGTTTCTCAACCTGGAGAAACCTACAATCTCCATAGTCGGGTCGCTTATCAAGGATGGAATTCCAGTCCTGGTTTACAGGTAAATGTGATCAATCCTCTTGATACAATAGGTCCTCGAAATTTCATGGCTAATGATGTTCCATTAATCATGCAGTGGAGATCAAGATTCTGTCATTCCATTGACTGGAAGCCGAAAACTGGTACGTAGATTGGCAAAGGCGTTAGGACTGAACACAACCGTACCTTACAGAGTTTGGTTTGAGGGAAAGCAGGTGAAGTGCAACCTTGTTTTTGATAATTTTTCCAAGAAAATCATACCCTAAAGAATGAAAGCAATCGTCTCGAATTGAAGCAGAATAATCATATACAAGATGTGAACTTCAACATAATTCTGAGCTAATTTTCTTGCTTCTTCTCACCAGGTTGGAGGGTGGACTCAAGTGTATGGCAATATCCTCTCCTTTGCCACCATAAGAGGTGCTTCTCATGAAGCTCCGTTCTCGCAGCCTGAAAGATCACTCAAGCTGTTCAAGTCATTTTTGGAAAACAAACCTCTACCAGAAACATTCTGAATCATCTGGGATTGCAATCCAGGGTGCCATGTCGTCTTGTTTACATCTTCCATAACAAGAATCAGTTCCTCAGACAAAAATGTGAAATTGATTGTCATTCTTTATCTGGGTTTTGTGAACGTAATGCAGAAGAAAAAAAATTTGTAAAATGGTGTGGAGACAAGAAAAAACATCAAATAATTGCCTTGTTTCCCACCATGTGAAGATCAAAGGATGTCTTTTTATCCATCAATATTGTCGATGTTTTGTGGGTTGTTTCATAGTTACCAATAAATCAAAATCCCTTGACCATTCCACCAGGAAAAATCTAACCCAGTTCAGAGAACAATGGAGAAAATCCTAAAAGGCCTATATTTAATGCCTAGATCAAAGTTGAAAGAAATTAGATCTTGGTAAGGTAATCTGCAAATGCAGGATTCAGGGGACCACTTCTTACATTACATTGAATGAAGATGGCAAGGACCAGTCAGAATCCTGAGTGTGACCGAGAAACTAAATATAAAGAGTTTTTGGGTGATGGGTACCATCATGATCAAACCCCACCTCCATCTTTGTAGTTACAAGAGCTTTTCCTTTTGGGCAGCTACTGCCCAGTGAGATAGAACTGAGTTTTTATGTGATTTACAACCGCCCACTCCTCCGGGGAAAAAGGGGTTTTATCTCTCCCTCCATTCTCTCTAACTCATTTATTCAAACCCTTTCTCTAAAAAAAGCAAACTGCTTCTCTCCTTTCCCATCTCCCTATTTTTTTGACTCCCTGGGTTTCCCTCTGCTCATCAAAATAACCAATCAAGCCATATGGTAAAACAGCAAAAGGAAGACCTTGCTGTGGCAATCATTAACTCTCTCCAAGCCCGGGTATGCCAGTCCCTATATAAACCCAAAAGCACATTTTCTAGCATAGAGTTGAGATCTTTAGTTTTATTTTCATTGCATTCTTTGATCGTATAAATAAATACATATGCAAGAGTTTCAGGATAAAGAGGAAGAGAAAGAGCTTGACCTCGGATCTGAAGAGCCTGAGGTTCCATTGCCCCTTACTCTCACTTCCAGGGTGAGATTTTGTTATATATTTGTATTCTCAAAGAGTTTAAAATTATTGGTTTCTTTTTAAAGGGAAAAAAAAAATAGAAATCGTCAATTAAATGATAATGGGAAAGTGTGTTGTAGAAAAAAAAAATCTGAAATTCAATGGAATGCAGGTTTTATACATGTTGGGAGACATAACTGCTGCACAGGCACAAAAGTTCAGCCAATGGTTGGAACTGGTCCGTAAAAGAAGCGGGAGATACCGATCTTCTGGCTTCCAACACTCCCACAAGCTCGATTTTATGCCATTTAGGTTTGATATTGTTCTGTTTCACTCTATCTGTTGATCATTGATGAAAAGTGTTCAATTCAGGATTTGTTGCATTTGGTGGCATTCAAAGATTGGCTATTTTAGTCCCAGTGTTGATCATATTGTTTATTTTTCTGCTGCATGATCCTATTGCTGATCAATAGCATGATAAGGGGAAATGCATTTGGATGAAAATGTTATTGATGTAACTTGACATTCATGGATTTTATAATTCTTGTTACATGGTCACCAGCATTGTCATTCAGTGCAGAAGAATCGTCTGCTAATTCAAAGGGTCGTCTGCCTCCTGAACAAGCTCCTGAAATTAGTTTGTGGGAAAGACTAGTTAAAGCTTCCATGTTGGACATTGAATCAAGCTCTTTTTCATGGGACATGCTTTCTTCACTTCACCGTGCCGAGCATAGCAGCAGCACTGAGCATTCTGAGGATGAACAAAATAAAGCCCTTGAGGTGTGTGATCTATTTTAACTATAGTTATATCTCTTCTTCAAATCCATGTAAGCATTTCCGAATTATAGGGTGAAAGCAATGTATATAAGGAACTTCCAACATTTCCACATATTGTAGGCCTGCTTTCAATTTTCTGTCCATTATTGCTTCACTATCTCCTTCCTGGTTCTAACTCCATTTATCTGTGTCATCAGTAGCGTGGAAAAGTCCATAAGCATCAATTATACGGGAGTTTTATAGATAAAGTGTCTAAATGGTAGAGCTTGTATTTACAGCTGACAAATACTTTTCATGTGAAGATCAGTCCTTTTGCTAGAGAGGATTTGTGCCTTTTCTATAGATGAAAATTACTTTGCAAAACTGCTTTTAGTCTCATGTTATCTCATATTATTTTATGTTTGCATTCAGGTCACTGTAAATTCTGGGGGAGTTGTTTTCTTTGCATTATTCAACCAACCTGGGATTGGTGATTCTTCTCCAAATGAAGCAGCTGCTGTTATAAAATTTTCATCTTCAAGGATGGCCACACAATCAGAACGCCTTGGGTATGAATTTGCAAAGTGGCTAGGAGTCCGAACCCCTCAGGTCACAGTTTTATATTCCTGCCAGTAATGTGATTTCTTTTTACTGTAGAAGCCCCATTGACTAGAGATTGTTCTTCTTGAACAGGCAAGAGTCATCCATAATTCGAGCCCAGAGTGGCTTCAAATCAAGGAAGCAGCAGAAAAAACAAGAGTTAGAGCAACTTCAGAAGGAGATGAAGTAGGTGAAGTCATATGTTCAGAACTCCTGGAGGCTCTTGAACTTAGCCGATGTCTCCTTCTAATGAGGTAAAACTGGAATGTATCCTTTTTTCTTTTTTTTCTTTTTTTTTTTTTTGGCATTTGTAATTCCCTTGGAGGGAGAAGAATGAGGTGCCATAATGTGAAGGCAGATTTCCTTTGTATTTGATATCTGATGTATCTGATAGCATATCTATCCCCCTTTGTGGTGGTTTATTTATTATTGTCTTCTGAAATTAGTTGGTAGCAACTAGTAAAGGCCATCAAATCAAACTGAGCTGAGTGAACCATGCCGCAGCAAGAATATTTGTTGCAGGAGTATTGTTTTTGTTTTCACTGTTGAATTTGGATTGTTTGCACATGGCATTCACCTTAAACTTATTCAATAAATTTACTGCTTTGTCAAGAGCAGTTAGATGAGGACGCATGGTATCCCAATAAGGATTAAATTTGTTTTGTATGCAGCATTCTGAATATCATAAATTGTTTTTTTATTTTTTCTCACCAGTTATGTTCATGGGTCTCCATTAATGGAAAGCTCAAGTGCATTTGAGTCACAGGAAACTGCAGAAAAAACTGCAGCAGCTCTCGGCAGGATCTTGTTGCTAGACCTTGTCATCAGAAATGAAGATAGACTTCCTTGCCGTCAACTAAGATGGCGTGGAAATACTGCCAATCTGTTGTTAGCAGACAAAATGTCTTCTGCAAATACGGACACTTTGGAAGAACTGTTTGATTCTGCAGTTAATCACTACCGTCCAAGGATGATTAGAGCTCTTCAAAAAGAAAGAAGGTCAAGTTCAGTACTGGTATCACAGGGCTCTGATCTTTCTGAAATCTTAGAATCACCAAAATTTTGTGAAATGAGCCTAAGAAGTGAAGGATCTGGGGAATTAATCTTTTCTCATTCTCACATTGTTGCTATAGACTCAGGTGTTCCCCGCAGACCTCCTGCTGGCAAACGTGCTAATGACCATGCAGTTTATCCAAAGTTGGTTGAGTTACTTCTCAACTGCTCTGACTACTCTTCTAATCTTCTACATGATGTAACGGTTGGAAAATTAGGTACTCCTTCCTCAGAAGATGCTGACACAACTGATACACATGCAACCGAAATGACATCAGCTGTTCAGGGATTTCATAGTGGCTTCCGTGCTGCTTTAAGGGATTTGCAGGGTTTCCATATATTCTTACTCACACTTCACCAGAAACTAGACAACTTGTTAAGACAATTTTTGAGCATTATAAACAAAACACTGTCAGTGGACTATGAGAAGGAGGATTGTGTTAATCTTGAGTCACCTTTTCCACCTGTTGTTCCTGGAGATGTTTCTTCTCAATTTCCTCCTAACAAGGAACGGGTCCTTAGTGATAATCAACCAGAATATGGTGATTCAGAGTCACAGAGGACAGCTCCTAAGTCATCATCTTCAGGTCATAAAGAAAGCACAGACTCTAGTTCTCCAATGTCACGGGAAAGTTGGCAAGGAAAGTGCCATAGAGGAAATGCAGAGCAGCTTCGTAGCCTGCGTTTAACAGCTAAGCTCCGTGACTTCCATAAATTTGCCAAGGTTGGTTGTACTTTTTAAAACAAATATCATGTTATTTAATGACAATGAAGCATATATATATATATATATATTGTGTGTGTGTGTGTGTGTTTTTTTTTAGTGAAATGACCCTGTCCAGTGTGTTTGAAATTTCTCATACGGGCAAGAACAATATCAGGATTTTGAGTCTTGAGAACCATCCCGCACCCCATGCCATGTTTTTGGCACAACTGATGAAAGTTGGTGACTGTATAACATTCAAAGCGAATGTAAAATTTTTATCATGTTTAGATTACATTGCAATTGGTATGAGATTACGCCAATGGCATGAAAAAGTGATTTGTAGCGTGTTGGGAATTTTCCTGTCTTAATCATTCGTAAATGAAACAAGTATGATTGCCCCCTTAAAACATCAGCACTTTGCTACCAAATGCCTTATCATATGTCATTACTGTGCCCAGGTTGATGCTGAGTCAAGTAAAGAACTGGAACAGTGGAACGAGATGCTCAAAAATGATGTGGTCAAACTCTGCCAGGAGAACAATTTTATTTCAGGATTTTTTGAGGGTAGTGATAGTCATAGCGTTGTAGATGCTTACGAACTGAAGGTAATACCATCTTCAACTTCTGAGCTGTATTATTTTACCATGCAGATGTCTTATATATATCTTTTACTGTAATTGGGTTTATGTATTTCTGCTGACTTTAGTTGACCCTTTTCCCTGGTAATAGCTTTTTGTTTTGCCCTAAAACATACAGGTCAGGCTAGAGCACATTCTTGAGAGAATTGGATTGATATCTGAGGCTGCCAACACAGAGAAGCCTTCTTTAATCACTCATAGGTTGTTCATTGGTGGAGCCTTGGCCGCAAGATCTATTTATACACTGGAACATTTAGCAATCACTCATATATTGTGTTTGTGCTCCAGTGAAATTGGACAGTCTGACTGTCAGTACCCTGACCTTTTTCAGTATAAAAACTATTCTGTAAGTACTTTATCCTTCTTTTGTTGGGGTATTACTTGCTGAAATGTCAACTTGGTTTTTGTGGATTTCTCTGAGTAAACGTGAATTCACCCATCCAAGCTTAAGCCCAGAAGTATTCCCAGAAGGCAAAAGAATAGTACTAGCTGTTTCTCTTTCTTCAACCTTGTAGAACCATTTGCCTTTTTCAAGTTGTTCTTAGCTGCTGCTTTAAAAGCCATGTACAGTCCTATGATCCTGATTCCTACATATGGTTTCTACTGATACGCTCTGTCCCTAATTGTACAGATTTGTGACAGTGAAGATACAAACATTGGCAGTATCTTTGAAGAAGCATCAGATTTTATTGATCATGTTGAACAAACAGGTGGAAAGGTCCTAGTCCATTGCTTTGAAGGAAGAAGTAGGAGTGCCACATTAGTACTAGCATACTTGATGCTTCGAAAGTAAGTAGAAATTTTACTTCTACACTGAAGAACAGAGAAGGCAATAAATAGAAAGTTTATATTGCTTCAACTCGAGAAAATACCTTCATCAGACAGGCATTGCATCATAAATCGAATATCATCTGTAGACTCTAGTCATTTCACAACAATTTGCCCTTCTGCAATGCAGGAACTTAACTCTGTTAGAAGCTTGGACTGCCCTGAAGCGAGTTCATCGCAGAGCCCAGCCTAATGATGGGTTTGCCAAGATCCTACTGGATCTTGATCTGAAACTGCATGGGAAAGTTTCAATGGAGTGGCATCAAAGAAAACCACTAATGAAAGTCTGTCCCATCTGTGGGAAGAATGCTGGTCTGAGCAGCAGCTCACTCAAGCTTCATTTGCAGAAATCACACAAGCGGTTCTCATCAGGGAGTGTGGACAGTGCAATGACGATAGAAATTCAAAAGGCTCTTGATGCGCTCAAAATAAACCGTAGTGGTAGCGTCAGCCCCACTCCAAGGCAGTCTCATTCAGTTATGGATGCATAGAACTAGCAACTAGCTAGTTCAGTTTAGCGTGAAGGAGTGAACTGATGAATTGTTATTTCTTCATAAATTATTAATAGGGGATGATGTACTGTAATGAGCAAACTTTGATACCGTAACAAGCATTCGCATGTTCTGTATAGAATTCAGAATGCGTACAGTGTGTTGCAAATACGAAGGCATCATGAATGAAACTGATAGGAAGAAAGAATAGGTACAAATTCATACACTTTACTTTCGACCACCCATGCAACCTTGCTTTCATCAGAATGTAGCAACGTAATTTACCGCCCTACTGCCACATATGCGTATTCTATTTCTCCTCCACTTACCATGTATGCAATTCATAGGTATTAACACACATCTTCAAAGCCTAACCAGCAACCAACCATTGATATCAAATTCTACTTTGAAGCGGTTTACTTTCGAAAGGTAAAGAACTACAACTCTATAGTCTATATATCAGTTCAAACCAAATCTACAGACAGCATGCTCAAAAGAGATGCATGCATTACACTGGAAGTGGGTCAGCGTCAGCCAATATCTCTGGAGTACCACTACTACCATTGAGGACAGTAACGTTTCCATCAGAATCAACGTCCACAATTACTGAATCCCCTTCTTTTATTTCTCTGGCAAGCATTTTCTCTGCCATGCTGTCCTCCAGGAGTCTCATAATGGCTCTTCTCAATGGCCTTGCACCGTAGCTAGGATTGTATCCTTCATCTACCACCCTGTCCTTGAACCTTTCTGTCACTTGAAGCTCGATATCTTTGGCCTTAAGCCTCTCAAAAATTTCCCTGAGCATAATGTCAGCAATCTCCTTCACCTCCAGCTTGGTGAGCTGCCGGAAAACAATCATCTCATCCAGTCTATTCAAGAACTCTGGCCTGAAATATCGTTTCAGTTCCTCTAACACCAGACTCTTAATTCTATTGTAACTGCTATCCTCTTCATCATTATCGAGATAAAATCCTAACCGTCTTCCTCCCTTCTCAATTACGCTGCTTCCAACATTTGATGTCATTATCAGGAGAGTATTCTTGAAGTCTACAGTTCTTCCTTTACTGTCTGTCAACCTACCATCCTCAAGTATTTGAAGCATCATGTTGAAGACATCAGGGTGGGCCTTCTCAATCTCATCAAAAAGAACCACTGTATAGGGACGGCGTCTAACAGCCTCAGTCAGCTGACCACCCTCAGTATAACCAACATAACCAGGGGGAGAACCAATAAGCTTGGAGACTGTATGTCTTTCCATGAACTCACTCATGTCAAGTCGGATCATGGCTTCTTCAGAACCAAAATAATAAGCAGCTAGTGCTTTTGCAAGTTCAGATTTTCCTACACCAGTTGGACCAGAAAAGATGAAACTAGCAATGGGCCGATTAGGGTTCTTTAACCCCACACGAGCACGCCGAATTGCCCGGCTAATGGCTTCAACAGCTTCATCCTGGCCAATGACTCGCTTATGAAGGGTCTCTTCCATCTTGAGGAGGCGATCAGATTCATCAGTTGATACTTTC